TTGGGGATGTGGGAATTTGGGGATGTGGGAATTTGGGGATGTGGGAATTTGGGGATGTGGGAATTTGGGGATGTGGGAATTTGGGGATGTGGGAATTTGGGTATGTGGGAATTTGGGGGCGTGAGAATTTGGGGACGTGAGAATTTGGAAATGTGGGAATTTGGGGGCGTGAGAATTTGGGGATGTGGGAATTTGGGGGCGTGGGAATTTGGGTGCGTGGGAATTTGGGGGCATGGGAATTCGGAGGCGTGGGAATTTGGAGATGTGGGAATTTGGGGACGTAGAAATTTGGGGATGTGAAAATTTGGGTATGTAAGAAGTTGAAAATATGGAAATTTGGTAATTTAATAATTTTGTAAAGTCTGACAATTGCAAAAATTTGAACATTTTCTAAGTTTACGAAGTTTGGAAATTGAAGAAATTTATGGACTTGAAGATTCAATAATTTTACAAGATTACAGAATTGAAGAAATTTATGAATTTGCAAAGTTGAGAATTTTATTACAAAACCTATAATAAAAATGTACTGATCAGATAATTCGCAAATGTTAACTTTACCTGTTATTCTTGCTTCCCGTGAAATCCTTGAAGCTTGCTGTCTTATCGGGCAGAATGTAGGGGTTGGTGACGTCCGAGAGGAAAGCCTGTTTCGAGAAACCGAGCTGCAACCTGCCGTCTGTTCCGATCGTCACGTTGTTCAGATTCTGTAAACACCGTTCTACGGCTATGCTGTCTCCCATCTGTATCATCGCGCATCCCTCTTTCGTCTTCAAGAACTTCACCTGTCACAGAACGACGACGTAGACGTTAAATATTGTTTCGGGTAAAAGGGTGAGACTGTTTTAGATTAAAGGGTAAGACTGTTTTAAGTAAAAGGGTAAGACTGTTTTAGATTAAAGGGTAAGACTGTTTTAAGTAAAAGGGTGGGACTGTTTTAGGTAAAAGGGTGAGACTGTTTATGTTAAAGGGTTAGTCGTTTGTGACTGTCCAGGTGGGCTAGTTCGTTGTTTATTAAAATAACAAAGGGACTTACTAGTTTATATAACATCTGACTGAACGTTCAGTCACCACATTTTGGGGGTTGATGAATAATATAGAAGATATTAACTAAACGTAGCTACTCTTCTAATTTTGATGTGCAAGAAATTTTGTTATGTAGCAAACATCTGACTGAACGTTCAATTACCACATTTTAGAGGTAGATGTTCAAACGATGTCACAAACGCAGTTCCTCCCTAAATTTTGAATTGAATTTTTGTCCTCATGCAAATATTATTGAACAACTAAATTGTTGTGATGTCTAGATATGTGGTTCGTGATGTGCAAGAAAAATTGTCATCATATAAAAAACATCTGAATGAACGTCCAACTTTATGTTAGACGTAGATGCACAATGAAAATATGTCACAAACTAAGAGCAGTCCTCTCTAATGTTTAGAGAGGAAGAGGTGGGAATTCGGGGGTGTGAGAATTTGGGGACGTGGGAATTTGGGGATGTAGGGATTTGGCGTATGTGGGATTTGGAGGATGTGGGAATTTGGAGATATGAGAATTTAGGGGTGTGGGAATTTGGGGATGTGGGAATTTGGGGGCGTGGGAATT